GCGTGAGACTCGTCATCGACATGATGCTCTGAAATGGGGCAATCCTATCCTCCAAGCCGCCACCTCTGAGGGCAAAATTTAACTCAGGGAGCAAAAAAGAATTAATAAAGATGATGCAGCATCACACACACGTTTTCCTGGGTGAAGAACTTCTGACAGATTCAGGGACTATGACACACAGGGACAAACCTCGAACGGACATCTGGGAACAAAGGTGGACAATGGAGCTGATGCTGGTGTCTGCACGGCAGCGTGCTGGGGAGCGGGGCCAGGGCAGCTGCTGCGGCACTCGCCTGCTTTCACAGTCGCATGCCACTCAGCAGCCGCTACCTTTCCGGTTGTGCACGCCACTCAAGTCTGAGAACCCAAGAATGCAATGGCGAAACTTAAGTATCCATTTTCATCTAAAAGTAAGAAAGCTCTGGGAAGCCCTTCTCACCACATGCCCCTTGCCCAGCATGACACAGGACGTGATGAAGAAGTTCCGACTTCCTGGCCAATCATTTCTGCCACCAGTAAGCACGGCCCTTAGGGAGACCTCGTTAGAGAAACAGCAGCAGGCGATGATTCCTCAGCCCCTTCCGGAAGCCTTCAGCCACCAGTGGCTCCCAATGGTGGGACAGCTCAATACTATTCTGCAGGCAAAGGGGAAGCTTAAACCACCTGATCACTTCAGCCAGGGTTCGAGGCCCGTGGATGCCAGATGGATGCCCAAAGGCATTGTGCCCTACCCCCTCATTTCACAGAAAAAGGCAAGTCAGCTTACCGACTGAAAAACCCGCAGGCTCTCCCTCCAACGGCACCAAATGCACCCAGAAGGACCACGCGTCAGTGTGGGTCACAGCCCTGTCCTACCTAACGGCAGCCCAAGAGGGCTGTCAGTCCCATCCCACTGGCTGTAGGTAATCTAGGTGATTACGATGGGCAATAATTCATCCCAAAGACAGAGCGCTACAAAATAATTTAATGAAGAGTAGGACCAGATGCATCTCTGCATATTCCTTCTGGCCTCATTTCGTTGTGATCTTTCTGGAAACTGTGAGAGAAAAGATGTCACAGAACTGCTAGGAAGATGGGGTGGACGACGGCGTCTGCCGCTTTCCGAGGGGCGCCGTCTACAGAGGGCAATGGCTGTCCGAATACAAAGGCGCAGGCCCCTCTGGCCCAGCAAGTCTCCTTTCAGGAACGAGCTCTCCAAATACACTCGTGGGGACCAAGTGCCGTCCGTCCACAACTGCCAGCAGCTGCGTGCAACCAAACATGTGGCAAGGGCAGAAGAACCAAAGGTGCACCCACAGGTGAAGTGCCGTACAGTTGCAAAAAAACAGAACAAAAAAACCCCACCAAACACCAGGCAGTTCTCTATTATGTAACAAGACATGGTGAAATGATTTGTAAGACTTTTGTTGCCCTGGCCAGTGGCTCAGCTGGCTGGAGCGTTGTCCCAGGCACCAAAAGGTTGCAAGTTCAATCCCTAGTAGGAGTGCATGTGGGAAGTGACTGGGAGATGTTTCTCTCTCACGTCAATGTCCCTCCCCACCCCTTAAAATTAATAAACATTTCCTCGGGTGAGGATTGAAAACTGAAAAGAGATTTTGTTTAAGGAAAAGGCAAGGTACAGAACAATAACATTTTACCATTTATGTCTTTTAAAAGGAGGGGACTGAGGGCACGTCTCAAAAACTCGCTTACACATGGGCACAACATCTCCGCAAGGATGTGCAGACACTGGCAACGCCAATCTGGCTCCAGGAAAAGCAGCCAGGTGGCAAGCTGGATGGAGTGGGAAGGGGTCATCCTATCATACACCCTTCCTCTTCGTATCTTCCGATTTCTAGGCAGATGCATTGCCTCATTTTAAATACTCTTTTTAAAAAAGATGTTTAAAGATCTGGTTTTTTAACAATGAAAATAGACAATAGCCATTTTTTATGACTTTACTCGGGCAGAGAAAATGCTGACAATTCCCAGTGTGGTCCCAAGGCCTGGCCTGTGAGCTTCACGAGCCTGGGAGTCTGCGCTGATGCACAGAGCTCGAACTCTCTGTGATCCCCCGAGGGGAGCCGGAAACGATTACACCAGCTGCACGCAAAAGCCTTCTCTTCAGGTTAAATAGATACGTTTTGCTCATTACTTGGTTTCATCTCCTAGAACACTGTTTATTAACAGAGCTGGGTTACTTGATAAGAACCAGTGTGTTGAAATCTGTGCGTAAGGCTGTTTCACGCTCCAGCGCCAGGAGCACATCCAGTGCCCTGCAACTATGTGGGATGAACACATGGTGTGCTGGCCGGCCAGATGTATGAATGAATTTGAACCATTATTATTTGATGCTCAGACAGCTGTGGTGCCTCTAAAATGCTAATGCGCTCATCACACATACAGCAAGGATATTCCCCAACTAACCCAAAAAAGCACCTCCGGAGTACTTCTCCAGGCAGAGAAACTTCAGTTCCCCACTCAGATGTCCTCCACATCAACATTTGGACTTCGCTGTCTGCTTTTATCCCGCGTAATCAATAATGGACCCCAGCTAAACCCCAGCTCTGCATCAGCTACAAACAGAGATAAACCAAACTCTGTTCTCATAAAGCCTTCATCTGATTCCGAGTTATCCAGGCCAGAGGCGCAGACACCAACCCCCAAGTGGACGCAGCTCCAGGCAAACTCTGCTGCAAACAGTCTCACACCAACTGCATCTGATGTGCCGGGACACACTGCCGGGCCGCAGCTCAGATGCAGCCAGAACACGGCGTCCACAGGCAAAGTGGCCCGGAGCGCCGCACATGAAACTATCTGGGAATGATGACAGTATATTACAGGATAGCAGCAGGGCGACGCGCTTAATCTACACAGGGATGTTACATGACCACTGAATTTCTTAAAAATGCAGGTTTTTCCAAGGAAGCAAAAAACCCATGAAACGCCATCAGGCGGGAAGCCCTGTGCCTGCAAAACTAAGGGAAGAGGCACAGACGGCAGCGTACCTCCCCTCCTGTCCGATGGACGCTCTGGACGCTCCCTGGACGCTCTCGCGTCGGGAAACGGCGCCTGCGCAGATTGAGCGCCGGCGGTAGCCGGCCACGCCCGCTGGGCCGGAACTTGGCGTCTCGCTCCGCTCACCGAGAACTCGGGAGACCAGCGGCGGCTGTCGGACCTCAAAGGACGCGTCGGCGCTTTCCAGCGGCACATTTACTTCCTTCAACTTAAAAATACCAATGAAACACACCAGTAACAAGTTATCTGGGACACCATAAACTTTTAAAAATGAATTTCCATAAAATTAAGGTGTTAATCAGCAGATTCTTATAGTTAATGCTTTTAACTGGGTTGAGAGTTTTCAGAGGCGTCCAAAGGCTGCTCCCAGCCGCGTTTGTGCGGAACGGCCCCTTTGAGTGGTTTCTCAAGTATCTCCATTAGAACTGTATCAAAATTTATGATGGTACAGAAATAAGTTTACTCAGATAAGTTAAAGAGAAATAGGAGCTGCCGGATGAAAAATTTATTAAAAATATGAAAAATTTAAACCAGGCTAGCATTAAATATATCCATCCCCTCACGACACTGAGAACTTGAGAGATAAATGAGATAACCTAAACTTGGAAGCATAATGGATGAGAAATGAAAAAGTAAATATTCAGTCTTTCTTTTCTGAACAAATGAGCTCACCAGGGATCAGAAAAGTTCCCGTAAAGCCCGAGAAAGAAAACAGCCTTAGGAAACCAACTGCTGCCCCTCCCCCGCCTCCCAGGAAGGCAAAACGCAGGAGCGGTATCATCACAGACTTTCCAGCTAACAGGCGCGGCTCCTGCCCCAGCCGGACAGCCGGCCTGGAGCGCAAAGAGGGCCCCTCCCCACATCGAGATTACAGGGAGCCACATGGGCTCCTGTGGCGCCGCCCTCCAGGATGAGGGATACACAGCTGGAATCCGGGGCGCTTCAGTTCTCTGAGCACTAAGTTGCAAAACCAGTGAACACCTGCACAAATGAGACCTGACCTCACAGGTGACTGATGTATTAGGGGAAACAGGAATGTAAAAGTCACAACCGGAGGCCAGAGTCGAACTGTGCGTGGTAGAAATCACGCGACGCACAGTGACCGCTAACTGTCACACGCTGAGCATTATGCTCAAAGCTTGACAAACACGGATTTGTCTAACCTGACAACTCCATGCAGTGGGTACTCTTATGAGCCCCCTTTACAAATGAGGAAACCGAGGCAGAAAGAGGGCCATGCAGCCTGCTTGAGGCCTCCTGGGGCAGTAGGTGGCAGGGCTGGGATGGACCGTGCAGGCCCAGAGCCCAGCCCTTCTCTGGTACTCAACACCACTGCTCGGGGAGGGGCCTCCTTCCTCAGGGGCAGGCTGCTGTCCCTAGAGTCACAGCCCTGGGAGTTTCTTCCTGGGGATGACGCCACTGCTGGCGGGGTCACGAGTGGCAAGTGGAGAAAAACCAAAACAAACCCGAACCTGATCCTCTCCCCTGATTCCGCTGGAGGACAGAGAGACACCCATAAATCAGCTGTGAGACTTTCAAGGCTAAGTACTTGGCCTACAGTCAAGATAGTAAAATGCTAAGCAGTGATAAAATTTAGTTATCATGCAAAGAATTTCAATTAAAAACTTTTCTCCTTGCTTCTGGCTCAAAAAGTATCAGAGGTACTTTTATGCACTATTGGTGAGAATGTAAATTTTGCATTTGGTGAGAATGCAAACATTTTTCTGCAGAGATTTGTGTTTTAGCACATAAATGTACCTATACATGCATGAATTTTTCCTAGACGGACACCTATTAGAAACTATTAATAGTTTCTTCTGTGGAGTGGGGCTGGCAGAAAGAAGGAGAAAGGAAACAATTACTTTTCATTTCATATCCTTTTCATGTGCTTGAATATTCCCCCCCACCCCCCATGTATCTCAGGGCTTTAATCTTTTAAACTGCCTTCTAAAACATAAAAACTGAGGCTCCGTTGCGTCAGCCGCACACCCCGCCTTCTATACCTTGTTTCCTTCGTGCACCCATCCCAGACTCTTCACTCCAAAGGCAGCCTGGGTGGCCGAGACGTCGAGACAGGTGGCAGGCTGGCCGTAGACGCAGTGCAGGGTTCTGGCAGAGGCGTCGGCCTTCAGCAGGTACACCAGGTCTCCAGCAGTGGCAACTGCCACCGGGTGCCTTTCGGTGTCTGGAACTAGTTCTAGGTAGTCAACCTGGAAAAGGACAGAGTTGTTTGTTCCTTTGGGTCCAGCTACAATTCCTCCTGACTTGCTCAAAGTTGTCTAGGTTCTGCTACATAGCAGTGAGAAGACCAGCGACCCCAAGGAAGAAGAGGGGCAAAAGCACAGTTCACAGGAAATGAAACACAGCTCTTATATAAAAGAAAAGATGCTCGTTGTTGGAGAAACACAATACACTCCCAGGAAGAGAAGTACGAAGTACAAATTCACTGAGATACCGTCTTCACCTGTCATGTCAGCAAAGACCCAATAGCCTGATGAGACCCAGGGCTGAAAGTGACGGGGACAACCACACCTCTGGGCCCCACTATGGCTGTGGGAAGCAGTCTGGTCCCACTTCTCCAGGGGGAAACCTGGCCACAACTTACCATAATGTTAAATGCACCTGCGCTCTGACCCAGCAAGTCCCTAAGATTATCCTTACAAATACACTCATATTTATGCAGAACGCTGTGTACAAGAGTACTTGCTATAGCATCATTCTGTCATCACTAAAAACTGGAAACAGTTTACCATGCGTTACTAAGGGACTAACTACCTTACAGCCCATCTGTGCGATGGAATACCACGCATGCAGTCACAGAGGCAAGCAGGGAGACACTCTGTACGACCCGATGCACACGGGACCCTCTCCCAGGTAAATCTGGGGGGAAAGCGTGGAAGCCAGGCAACAGGGGTCAGTGTGCTGGCGTGTGTGCGGGTTAACGGAGGAACTGTGTGAGGCACTCGGCTTGTATGTGCATGAGTCTTCTCGCTATGGCGGCTTTCAAAGTGGGGAGCAAGTTGAGGGACAGGGTGGAAGCGACACTTCTCACTGTGAGCTTTACTGGGTCTTTAAATTCTGAACCATGTGGGTGTAATAACTATTCAAAAATTGTTTTTATCAGAAACTGAATAAAACTCACTCAGTTCCAAAGGAGCAGAAACCACATTTTAACATTTGTATAAATACCAAAAATGTGTTGCTAAAAGGTTCAAAATATTAGGTTGGCCAAAAAGTCCATTTGGTCTTTTCAGTAAGATGGCTCTGGTAGTGCTTAGTTGTCTTCAACTTCATTCGAAACAATTCTGTTAGACTGTATGGTAACAGCTATCATATCAGTGTGCATTAAAAAAAATTACCAAAATTGGTGAATTTTGTGTAGTCATTTTAATACCAAAGGTGGAAGAAAACATGCAACATTTCTGGCATGTTATGCTTCCTTATTTCAAGAAAGGTAAAAGCGCAACTGAAATGCAAAACAACAGATCTGTGCCGCGTGTGGAGAAGGTGCTGTGACTGACTAAAGGTGTCAGAGTGGTCGGTGGAGTTTCGTGCCCGAGATTTCTCGACGCTGCATGCTCTGGTAAACCAGCTGAAGCTGATAATGATCCAATCAAGACATTAACAAGAACAATCAACGTTCTACCATGCAGGGAGATAGCTGACATACTCGAAATATATACAAATCAATACAGTTACTGGTGAAAATGAAAAATATGTCTTTAATTTTATGTACCATAAACAGACCTTTTGGCCAACCCAATACCTGAGTTACTGTATTTGGCTGTGTATAGTTTGCACTTGTTTTGCCCAAATTTTTGAGGGAAAAATAAGGATGAGCATTATACATGGGTAGTACTAATTCCATATCTCTATGTGTTTTTAATTCTTTTATTTATGCTTATGCATTAAAAGTGTAACTCTAGAAAGCAGTAACAATATCCTTATGCAAAATACTACTCTGGAATACAGTAATAGGTTGTGTTTCTAAATAGAAATACATAAAAAATTACAAAACTAAAACAAAGTATTTTTTCCTAAAAGTTTGGGCCCAAAACATGGATGCGCAGCATACACAGGAGCACATTATACACAGCACCTGCCCTCTCCTGGTTTCAATGTCCCCGTGCGCAGGAAGGCCATGGCCAATGGCACTTTTACGCCACTGCAGTGCTACCACTTTCTCTGGCCTGCATGTGCATGAGGGAGTCGTTCCAAGGAGTGTTTTTCTAGATCCCTAAGGGGCACCTTGCCCCCAGGTGCAGTCTGCCACAGGTCTCACTTCTTGAGGAAACTCCAGGAGTACGGAAGCAGAAGGCGAGCCATGCTGTGAGCTCATGAAAACGCCTAGTGTGAGAGGACAGCAGTGCCCTGATGACAAGCCAAATGAGTCCCCAGGCCTGAATCCGGAGGCCTGTCCACAGGAGCTGGAGGCAGAGAGGAAACATCTGGGTGACTGCTAATCCTCGGGCCCGGCGGCATGAGTGGCAGCCCCACACCCGGAGCCAAGAGCCCATCACAAAGGAAGGATGCGCTGAGCGAACGTGGCAAACGTGGGAACGCTGCCACCGAGATCCAGGGGGCCCATCCAGTCCAGGGGGCCCATCCGGGAAGGCAGAAACCTCCCGCTGCATGGGCCGGGGCCTTTGCAGGGACAACACGTTCTGCGGCAGCCCCTCATCCTGGGCGAGAAATGGCACGTGGCAAGCGGTCTAGCCCATGCCTCCAGCTCGCTTCCTCTCCCTGTTTGAAAAGCCCTTTCTTATTTTTCTAAAGTTAACATCCTCAGTCGAGCCATTTAATTTCGTCTTAACGTTGGGTTTTGGACAGACCCGGAGGCTCGGGTTGACAGCGGCTGTGCCATTTGCTGGGAGCTGTAAAACTACTTCAAAAGCTGCAGGCCGTGCCAGGACGCCACCTGACTGCCAAAGCAGGATTTGCATTTTACAGAGGCCTCACATCTTAAGCAATTGTGTGAGTTGTGTAATTACAGCTGGTCTGCAGTGTTCTCCATCAGAGACCAGATAATAAGCACAACGGTCGTTCCGAAAACAAACAAATATGGAGCTTTCACGTTTCTCCAATAAAACCCAGGACAGGATACCCGCCTTAGGCAGTTTTCGGGGAAACACTAAACCCAGAAGGCAGAGATCTGATCATTAAAGGGACAAGAAGCTTAGGAAGGTGAAGTAGTAACGCCGAGGCTTTTTAGGTATTCAGGTCTAACAAGATTTCCACCGGGAGGAAAACGGAGAGGAACAGGATCCGTTCCAGGTCAGGCCATCAATTTATTACTCAGTGTTGGCTCTTCTGCTCAGTCTCCTACTAGTGCCAAAATCAAGGTTATTTAAATTAAATCCATATTCAGCATAGACAGATTTAAGCTCTTCCTTCTTACCACCAAATCATCTCCTACCACGCAAAAGTAGAAGCTCACGTACAAGTGAACTCAGAAATGAGCTCCACGTGAAGAACTCTTCATGGCTGGCTCGGCCCCACATGCGGCACGCTGGAAGGTGGCTACACCAAATCATGCTGACGTAAATCTATTTTCACTCAAGAGTCACCCTCCACTCCAGGTGAGAAGAACTCGGGTGAAGAAAGCTGAGGATGGAAACCCCCCCCTTTGCCATAGGTCTGGGGTGACGGCGCTGAACTCATTTTTCCCTTACACATCAGCCCAGGGCTGACCTCAGGGCTCCCCGGGGAGGGCATCCTGACCGTGAAAGGGGACGAGGGGCACAGCGACGACACCCTCCAGCCGTGCCTGATGTTCGCCCTCGCCCTGGGGTCTGAGTCACGGCTTCCGAGCTCTGAGGCGGAGGCAGGTCCCTTCACTGCTCTGGGTGCCCACGGGCTTCTTGGTGACCGGGGAAAGTGACAGGACCTGTCTCACCAGGCTGTGCTGAGACTTGCGGGTACCAGGCCCACGGGGATTCCTGAGTGCGTGGGAGTTGCCAACATCATTACTATTTGCTTAGGTTCGATTCAGAGGTTCTAAGAACCAAGGAAACATGAACTGACGAGACTAAAAGCTTACCAGTTTCTGAACCTCAAATTCTGCAGCTGCTTGCCAACAGCCCTCCTCGTCGGGGCGCAACATGACGACACTGAAAGCGGAGGCGGCGGCGACAGTTGCGTCCTCCCGGCCGAGGGCGAGCGCCTGTATTCTTGCACCGTGCCCGAGGCGGCGGACAGGGTGCTTTCCAGTCTTCAGGCCCCAAATGTTAAGAAATCCTGTGTAGAAAGAAAAGGCAATGCGGGTAAAATTCTAAATTCACTTCACATGCACAACCATCAAATAATAGCTGTTTAAGGTAAAGTAAATTAAACAATGATCAAATGGTAAAAATAGTTTGCATCACATATAACAAAAGGCCAATCTCTATACTATATAAAGGGCTTCTAAGATTCAACAAGAGAAAAAGCAACTGAAAAGTGAGCAAAGGACATGAGTGTGCTGTTCACAGAAAAAAGAAACAAGAAATAAACATAAAACATGTAAAACTTCACTCACAATTAGAAAAATACAAATAAAAGCCATAATACAATTTTTATCAATCAAACTGACAAAGATAAAAATTCCCTAAAACATCTTTTTGAGAATACAGGGAAATGGGCTTGATCTTAAACTGTTGGCGGGAAAGTAAGCTAATTCACCCACTCTGGAGGCAGCTGGATAGCATTTCCCAAATTACAGATGATATCGCAGTGATTTTCAACCATTTTCATCTGGTGGCACATATAAACTAGTTACTAAAATGCTGCAGCACACCAAAAATATACTATTTTTAAAGGTATATGTTGACTCATTCACACCAGATGGCTACTGTTGTGTTGGCTGTTGTCACTTTTTATTTGACGATCTGAGGGAAAAGGGGTCAGTGCCCCTGACTAAATATAAGTGGTCAGGTACTGCACATTCTAAAAACTCTTGTCGCACACCGGCTGACAACCTCTGGCATTCCAACTGTGTCAAAAGATTGGATGTCATCTAAATGTCCATCAGCAGAGAGCGGCTTAAATACTGCTCCCTCCACAGTCTGGAATTTGAGTAAAACGGGCAGTTAAAAAAGAGTGAGTCGGCCTTCCATCAATCAGCTATGTGAAATGACCAACAAAATAGACTGGTAAATGAAAAGAGTAATGACTAAAATAGAGGTATAGTACGCTCTGCTACTCTTGTGTCTTAAACAATGTACGCACGGACACACAACTGGAACGGAAACCGTTAGAGGATTCTAAGGAGAGGGACCAGGCAAAGGGGCTAGAACGAAAGGGAAATTTCCTGCCTCCTGTACATCCTGAAATGTTTTCCAAAAACTGTCTTTAGCAAAAAGATAAATTTTAAAAATGTTTTTATGAGAGGGACCTAAGAAGAATGGGAGCACATATATTAATTGCTGAGTAGCATTAGCATAAGGAGGCCTTAACTCATTCTTCCATCTGTCCACTCACTCATGCAACGAATAACCGCGGGGCCCCTGTCCGAGGCCAGGCCCTGCTCCAGATGTGGGCAACGCCTGGAAACAGCCACCAAAAGCGTTTCACATCCTTCCTCACCACCACGACGTCTAGCCCCAGCTGGCCACGGCACTTGATTGTGCGTACTTGTAAAAACCGTGAGCTTGACTTCGCCACACGCATTAAAGACTCTCATTTCCCATCCACCCTTGTCCCCTGCACCTTGAATGCTGCCGCCCAGATCCATCCCCCTTGCACACACTGGCCGTGTTCCCACCTTTCTCAGGCTGTCCATGGCAGTGAACTCCACGTGCGGCCCCAGGACCGTCAGCATCCCCTGGGGGCTTGCTGGAAATGCAAGTTCTCAACTGGAGCCGAAGCTCAAGTTTGAGAGCCAGTGGTCTACAGGAACTTACACTTTTCTACCAGGTATATTCACTTTTCTGTATTTCCAATGACATTTATTCTTTTTTTCACCCCCTCCAAATAATTTTTTTTTTTACCATTCTTATCCACTAAGCTACTTCTTTTCTCCCAAAGGTTTACCTAAGAAAATAATTACTTTCTATACAAGCCAGATAACGTTGTGTTCCAATTCCAACTGATTTTATTTTTTTTAAATTGACTAAGAAATAATTCGTGGACATAACACAGCCGGTGGCTTCTCGTCTGAGTGCAGATCCAGCCGCCCCGCTGGAGAGCGGAAGGCCTCGGGTGAGGCCCTCCGGGCAGCGCGCCCGTCCCCCCATCGGTAAAGCTGGAGACAACGGGACCTGCCACACGGGGCTGTCGGGCAGATTAGAGGAGAGAAACCATGTGAAATGCTGGAGACAGACCAATCATTTACTTTTATGTATTCCACAGTTCCTGCTGTGCTGCAAAGCATATTTAACCTATTAATGAAACTAATTTCCTCTATTGCTCATCCATAAATCCAGTCTTATTACCCACAACTTCCTACTACCTAAAACGGATAAAGTGTTTCGTGTCTCTTCTCTTTGCGATCCGTTTTCCCACCTTTCTTTCTCCTTGCTTTGTGCTTTGTCTCTATATAATAAATGCCTTGAACTTACGATCTTACTACAGTATAAATTATCCCGCGGCACCAAGTAAACACAGTCAGGGGAAAAGAAGACATTCGGGATGCTTTGCAAGACTTTCAGACTGTCAGCAGACTCGAGTCGGCGACTACAAACCAAAGCAGAGCTTTCCAGCTGAATGTTCCTTCATATGTAAAACAGAGTACTCAGGATCTCAAGTACAAGAATTATGATAAACTTGGGGATAAGCAGATTGCAAAAGGCGCTACAACACACTTCCTAGCAAATATTTTGGCAAATTCTTTCCATTCTGATTCGGAAGAAACAGATAAGCAGCAGAAAATGCCAATGGCTCTACAGGAGCCAGGCGCGCTGCCTCTTCCAGATATTTTTGCGTGGCACTTGTTGGGAGACATCGAAATCCGCAGTAAAGAGAAATAAGCTGCTTCCTGCAGAGAGCTTTCCGACGTTCAGACGCTTTCACCAGTCTGCTCCAGCAATTTCCAACCGGCGTGTCCTGAGAAGCTGGGAAACGTGCGGTATCTGACTGACCTCCTTTCCCTTAGACTGTCAGAAAAACGACAACGGTCAGCACAAGAGCTGACCAGGGTGAGCGCCCTGTCCTGAACCACAAATATAGGTCATATAATGGAGCTGCATCTTATCGGTCACAGTGCACCATAAAGTTGGATCTGACTGGTTAATTCTTGGTACCAGAAATCTTTATACACAAGTATAGGCACCTGATTATTTTTAAAAGTCGCTTCGGAACAATAAGGATAGATAATTACTATCATTATTTTTTGTTTGTAAATCGATCAAAATTATACCTATCATTTTGTCAGATCAGCAAGAAATATATATTTGTTGGTGTACCGCAGAATTTTGGTAATCAGTGCACATGTGCTGTGAGATGAAAAAGGCTGAAAAACTGATCGTCTACTCTCTCACCATCATTTTACACAGGAGAAGAGACACACGCGCTGAGCGGTTAGACGACGGTCCGAGCACTTGGTCCGCGATGCGGCCAGGCTGGAAGCTAGCTAGAGAAGTGCGGGATGAGCAGCTGCATTTACAAGCGCATAAAACAGCCATGGGATCGATGAGTAGCTGACGTCAACTCAGCCTGCGTTCTGCCAAGTGTGGAAGTTATTCAACCACAGCTCACTCTAAGCACACATGGAGTTTATCTACAAACACATTTTTCATTATTAATCAAGTATTGGTTTTGTTGGCATCATTTTCTTCCAACAGAATTGTATGCAATAAAATACCCTTCACCACAAGGCTCGGTTTCACAGAGCTTTCCTGAGAAGGGTCATTCTGGAAAACACATTCTGAGGCCCCATCGGGGCAACTCTCTTCTGGGTGCGTGCTGTGCCATCATCTTCGGTAGCGTCTCCACTTCGGCTGTTTAGCGTGCAACCTGGCCAGGCCCTGGCTTGTCACAGTGCCATTGCCCTTGGCACAGTCCCCCAGGGCCACTTGATGCTGCATAAACATTTAGGGCTACTATGTCCTCTTGGTGGATTGACCCTTTGGTATACGAACCCTCTTCTTTATCCCTAGTTACACCCTTTGCTCCGAAATCTACTTCGTGTGGTATTGGCAGAGCCACTCCAGCGTTCTTTTGATGAATGCCGGCACGGCGGATAGTGTTCGTCCTTTCACGCTGCCACGTATTTTCACTTAAAGCGCGTTTCTTGTAGATGGCATACAGGTGGTCTTGCTTTTTAGTGGGGTGTTTGGACTATTTATCTTTAATGAGATTATTGGTAAGAACTGGTTTAATCTACCATTTTTCTATTAGTCCCATTTTTTTTCTTTGCGCCTTTCCCCCCTCCTCTTCTGTTTTAATTCCTTTGTTGGCTTGTTAGCCAAAACCCTCTGTTGCGTTATTTAAGTGGGTGCTGTGGGATTTTCACCCACACGTGTAACTCACCCAGTCTACCTGCAGGGACGGCTCACAACTGCTCCCACGGAGTAAGAAGCCCCGGTGGGTACCTCTGTCTCCTCCCACCTGCGCTTTGTGCTGTTGCTGTCACACTTTTGGTTTCTCCATGTTATAAACCCCACCTACATCATTATCATTTTTACATGAGCAGGCGACATCTTTTACAGAAACTTAAACTGGGGGAAAGCCACCTGTATTTACCTCCGTAATGACCACTGGGGGCGCCCCTGCAGGGTCTGTCACTAAATCCGCAGTTTTTGCAGGATTTGCGACTCCACTGCGCAACGGTACTGTTGGATATTTGACCCAAAAATGCGTGGGCAAGGCGGGCAGGAACGGACACAATGGCCAACAGGGACAAATATCTGAGTGAAAGCTAATGTTATAACCATGTAACCAATAAATCAGCCAACTCTGTCACGGCTGCTTTCACAACCTCAAAATTGTAGACACTCGGAACAGCGAATACTCGAATTATAAGAATGTTTTATAACACTGTAGCAGATTCTCATCCACATTAACTAATATTTAGCCGAAAATAAATCAACACAACAACACATTCAACAAGTACCTACTGAGCCCCTGCTTTGGGTCTGCCACTGTTCTAGGCACTGAGGAAAACCACACGAACTAGTCAAAATAGAGCAAAAATTTAAAAATCCCCGACTGCGTGGAGCTGACATTCTAGAGGCATCTCCCAAGCATCTCATGGGGGGGGGGGGGGCCCTGAGAAGGAGATGATCCCTGTTTTCACCAAACTCACGCTGAAGAGAACCTAA